TTAAGAACTTGCAAGTGGAATAAGATTCTCAATGTCATTCGAAATATCAGTTACATAAACTGAAACTCTGGTTCAGTGTGCTACTTTTTATTTGAGTAACTGGGTTAAATCTTTACAGCATTTTTTCTTCTTCCTGGCATATTCATTAGGTTAATTATTTCTTGCAGATGAACAAAAACAAGGACGAGGAGAGCGGCACATCAGTCCCGAAGATCGCAGACCGAGATCGGGAGGGCGACCTTTTCCCTGTTGCATCCCTTGACGAATATGCTGAACAGGCTGTACAGAAGGATGAGTCTGATGAAGAAGATGCCAGGGATTTTGTGAAAGATTAACTTGGCAAGGTTTGGTACTGTAAAAGGATATTTAGTTTTGTGCGCGGACGCTCCTTCGGGGTGTTCTAACTCAGCGGAGAAATGCCAACACTTGTTTTAGCAGAGATATATATTTCTGTTTATCAGATCTTATTTTGACCAGTGAGCTTACGACACCTTCCCAGTTATGTTATGCTTCTTCCTAATAAGTGTAGGATTCTGAAGCTGTATTATTATTACATGAGTGGTATATATTGCTGTTGCTGGTTTACCTCCAGAGACAAGTCAACATTCCCCGTTGAACTATCTGTTTTTCTTTTCCGAGGGACCGTTGAACTATCTGTTTAATTTTGAGCCCTCGACACCCAAACAGAGTACTTTTATCTCACCCAACTGTTAGAACTTCATTTCGTGTACCGATAGTACCGAGGTGGCATCCTGGTCAGCATAAATAAGTATATGGCGGTCCCACATCTCATGCTAATAAACACCTTTTTTTCTCCTTCGTCATTTTGGTTTTTTTTTATGGTACCTTGATCATTTTGGTTATCTCTGGCCACATCTGCATCTCACTTTCCGTCCGCAAGCTGTAGTTTGCCATGACAGCTCCATAGGCCCTGCTGTCGACAGTGAACGAACACCGCCTAAACCAAAAGGACTGCTGCAGCATATCTTTTTTCCTTTTTGAGATTTACAGGAGTAAAGTTATTCCCAGCCACATGGGCTCCTCCCGTTTCTTCAACCTCTGAGTAACACCAACGATGCAAACGAGTCGATGAAGAGGATCGGATCAAGAAACCCGCGAGATGGAGAAGATGCGGGGGTGCACTACGCGTCCACGTGCCACGTGCGCCTTTATTGCCATTGTCACCTTGTGGTTGTGGTGGCCAGCTGTGCCAGGCATGACTCGCGCGGCGCTGTGGAAGAACACACCGCTGGATGGAGATGGAGATTCAGAACTCGCAGGTGCCAAGTCCAAACTGGTCCTGGTCGGTTCAGCTTCAACCGAGTTCCCACCCACACTTGTTTTAAGAAGAGGAAAAAGAGAGAGAGAGTTCCCACCCACACCGACATAAACAAGGGTGAAACAGCAAGATATATCAAGAGGTGAGGGGGGAGTGGAGCGGCAGTTCGAGCCGACGAGGACGAGCTACAGGTCGATCTTTGTTCATTAGCCTAGAGATCTGTGCCATGTGCATCAAGTAGCTGAAATACTTAAACCTGTAGTACCCCCTGTGTTAATTCAAGGGAAACACTGAAACTCAACAGGCTGATTTTTCTGTCTAGCATACGCCGCGTCTCACGCAAGACCTGTGCCCTCTCACCCTCCACCTCTCTCTCCTTTCTCTATATTTTTCCGCGACTCGGTCGACACGAAGAAGAGAGGCTCCATGGATGGTTGCTGAAATGCGGCAGAAGCTCGATGCTTCAACTTCCTTCCCGTTGCTCCAACGGCCGGGACCTGGCTGATACTACCTCCGTCCTGCTTACTAGTCCTCTCGTATTTTGAGTCATATTTTGATCATGATTTTAATTAATAAAATATATATTATACGTATAAAAATAATATCATTGAAAACTACATTCAGATACAAATCTAACGATATAATTTTAGATGACATGCATTCACATTTTGCTAGTCGAATAGGTGGTCAAAGTTTGACTTAAAATACGATGAGGACTAATAAACCAGGACGGGGTAGTAGCTCTAAGCTATCAGCCGATGACGCACGTCATTCATAATTTTAGGGGTACGTGACTTCTCTCTCTCTCTCCTCGGTTATTTCCCTGCCCCACCCATACCCTTCTACCACTTCCTCTCTCTTCTGTATGACAGTGTTACATTTTCTGAAATGGAGGAAAAAACTTTGTGTCATCTCATTCATTAAGAAGAGTTTATGTTAATAAAAGACCGCACAAATACGGTCCCAAATGACTAGGCTACCCTGACAACCCCAATGCCTGAACTTGGTCTTAATTTTGTATGTGGTTAGATTTGGCATGGATGACACATTCATAAACATTCTCACATTCCGCTCGTTCTGAATCTCCCATGGAACCAACATGATGAGGGATTCAAGGTCCATCCTCGCATTGCCACTGGCACTAATCATGTGGTGTCAATCCATGATGGTGTCGAAATTGCTCCACTTGACGATTTCCACATTAGTCAACCCCATCCATGTCTTGATATTCATTCAAATGTGTGTTGTGTATCAACATAGAACTATAATGTGTGCTACCGTCTGCAGATCCCTGTTACATAATTAGCATATGCCACAGTTTGGTCATCCTCTCTGTTGAAGTCTATTTGTTGCCCATACAAGTACAAAATGATAAGCCAAGAAAAGAGTTTGTGCTCTGGTGGTGCCCAATTGTTTCAAATAACCATCTTTGTTTGCGATGTAGTTGTGTCATAAAGTTAATCTTTATATGTCAATTGTGTCGTGTATTAGTCGGATGGACAGCTTTCAAACAATCTCATCGTCCACCTCCTCGTCTTGGAAGACCTCTCTTAATGCCACCCGAAGCTAATAATATTCAAGGATGTGATGGATTGTGAGCCCCAAATTCATGTTGATATTGGCTATCCACTGGTAGTGCTCCAATGCCCTACGAATAGTGTCATTCTTGTGCTTGGACATTACAAAAATGGAGGGGTATCTTTTGGCTTGCGACCTCAGGGAGTGCCAAAAAGGACTCTGTTGTCAACAATGATGGTAGTGCACTCATAAAACAACGTCATGTCCTCCTCATCACATGGGTGCACCAAATCAACCCAAGCTTTGTTTGGGTTCTTCCAAACTAACCAAGGCCATTTGAGTCGCAAGGCACACACAAGTTTGTCCATGTCTAAGATGCCAAGGCTGCCCATGTCCTTGGGCATACATACCTTCTCCCCATTTTATGTTACATTTTTCTCCAGAAACTTTATCCGTGATTCTCCATAGAAAAGCCCGCTTGAACTTATCATTGGAAGTCATCATTCCTTCGGGCAACACAAGCGAAATGAGATGGTGCATGGCCTGCGAAGTAATAACCGACATTACCAATGTGCTCCTTCCCGCCATCGTAATATACTTTCCCTGCCGGTCATGATCTTCCCGACAATCTTTATCAAGCAAGTGTTGGATGTCTGCAACCCTCAAATGATTTGTGGACAACGGGAGCAGAGGGAACTAAGCTCGGATCGCCGGGAAGGCACCCAAAGTCATGTCAAGGTCAACATTGGAGTATCTTATAGGGACCACCAAACTCCTGTGGATTTTTGTAACCAGCTTGATGACAATGCTATGTGAATATCAACTCAAGGGTTGATTCAACTAAATAATTAAATCTTGATAACATTTTCTATTATGTATTGTGGCACTTTGCATGTATACGATATGTAAAATTTGACAGAGGAGAAAAATACATGGTAGTGATGGGCATATTAATTCTTTTTTATTCTCATGATGAACTAGTCCATTTGGATACTGGAAAGTCTGGAAAAATCATCGACATAGAATTTGGTTGACGAAGTGGTGCATCACAAGTCTTTGTTACATGTTTAAACTGAAATTTCACATAGCATTTTCTAATCTTATTATCTGGTACTAGTTGGACTGTCACTTTATGCAGTGATATAGACATCCTTGTGGAGCCACTACATGTCATTGACAGCACATGCCAAGATTGATGTCACCGCGAGGTGAACTAAAACCGCTGAGCTCAACAAGAACGCAATGTCATAGAACTACATCACCAGTTCCCCTAGTTGCATGATGGTAAACAGATGAAAATATAGAGTAGTAACATAGTTTGACTACGCTGTAACCGAATTTTAGGCCTCCTTTGGCTGAAATTTGGTAGAAATTCTATAGGATAAGCATTTTGTAGAAAAAATATTCTTTTGGAGTCCTATGGCTTCTAAGAATAATTTTTTATTCATATGTAGGACAAGACTAATCCTTTGCATTTGAAAGGAAAAAAACATTAGCTTAGACAACAAAAAAACTTTCTATCCTATGAATCAAATGCCGTCCCTTTCTTTAAGAAAATTAAGATAGATGTCATTTTATTTTCTATATCTTTCTCATGTCCATGATATTTCTACCTAATGAACCAAAGGAGACCCTAGTGGTAAAACATACCAGTGTGATATAATTAGTGATAGAAATGTTAATAATGTGTCATCAGTTACTCAAAAGTGATATCCTGGATATATCGGGCATCATACAATATATATATTACTCCCTCCGTCTAGGTGATTAAGTCATCTTAGGTTGTGCGCCGTGACCAAGGAGGAGGGGAAAATGAGAGAACGTAATGTTTATTTGCTAATTAATAACATTGCATGCAATGAACTAACCACTGCATGTCGTTTTTAGTAGTCTCAAGTCATTAAAAACATGCACACCCCACATCTCTTATTGGTTGATATGTCAAGAAACAAGAAATGATGTAGAATTTAATGCATCACGCCTAAGTGTTTTGGGATTATTTGGTTTTCGTAAGATGACTTACACGCCTAGACGAAGAAAGTATATTTCTTTCATTTCACAATGTAGTGCGCCCACGCTTCCCGAGATCTAAGTTTGATCATATTTAACCAATGAAACTGACCGCGGCGGAAGCAATTTATGGTCAAAATAGATTTTGAAAAGTACGGACACATTACGTTGTGAAATGGAGAAAGTATATTATATTCCTGGGTCAAATCTGAAACTAGATGAAGGGAGAGCACCGCAGGTGGTGCATTGATAGATCCATTTTTTTCGTATTGCGGGGAGTGCATTGATGGATCCAGAAGTTGACAATACACCCTGTCGGTCAAAAATAATAAATGCCTTTTGTTGTTTCTACTAATAAAATACTACTAGTAGTAAATGGCTTGTGTATACATACATACGATGCAATATACGCTAGTACTCCTACTACGGGAAAAAATTATATGAGACCAGGTCTCATATAAACCAAGTGAGACCCGTGCTGATGGATGACATGTGGCATTCACAAATCACAAAGCATATAATCTCTCC